TTTCCCCACATCCATCAAGATGCTTCTTTTTTTTTGAGACAGGGTTTCTTGTTCTGTTGTCCAGGGCTAGAGTGTAGTGGATCCATCATAGTCACTGCACTTAAAACTCTTGGGCTCAAGTGATCCTCTCTTATTCAGCCTCCTGAGTAGCGGGACTACAGGCACACACCACCATACCTGGCTGATTTATTTATTTTTAAAATTTTTTGTAGAGAAGGAGACTTGCTATATTGCCTGGTCTTCAACTCCTGGGCTCAAGCTATCCTCCCATCTTGGCCTCTCAAAGTGCTGGGTTACAGGAGGGAGCCACTGCACCTGGCTAAGATGCTCTTAATCTAATTTTGTTGAAACGCTCCTCTTTCTTTTTTTTTGTTTTTTTTTGTTTTTTTTAGACATGAGTTTCGCTTCTTGCTAGTGTGAGAGTGAGCTTGTCGTGGCGGTTCAGCTGTAGTCACAGCAAACCTCAAACTCCTGGGCTCGAGTATCCTTTCTGCCTTCAGCCCCTCCCGGGTAGCTGGGATACAGGCATGCACCACCATGCCCGGCTAATGTTTACTATATATTATCAGGGCCAGATTAATTTCTTTCTATTTATAGTTAGAGACGGGGTTTCCGCTCTTGCTGCAGGCTGGTTTGAACTCCTGACCTTGAGCAATCCGCCACGCCTCGGCTCACCAGATGCTAGGATTACAGGCGTGAGCCACAGCGCCCGGCCAAGGAGAACCTCTTCTTTCTTTCTGCTGTCCCACCATTCACCTAAATTTTCCTCCTTCCAGCTCTTATACCACTAAACCGTATATTGATTTCAATGATTTCTCTTCTAATGCCTGATTAGTTTATCTCCCAATCAGTTATAATAACTCTATGCATGAGTCCTTCTATTAGTGATCTATGATTCCATAACACTGCATTTGTTATTCCACTTTCAATCATCCCATGATGATTATGAATTGAAATTTTGAAATTATATGAAAAACATATAGTTTAACTTATGTAAGTCAGTGGGTTGATGAATGATTGGATTGAACACTTAAATCACTGAATTCTGCGATGGAAATTCCATTTCTATTTTTGTATGTTATCTCTCTTTTCGAACTCCTGACCTTGAGCAAGCCACCCGCCTTGGCCTCCCAGAGTGCTAAGATTACAGGCGTGAGCCACCTCGCCCAGCCAAGACCCAATTTTTGATCAAGGAAATAATAGTTTAGTCATCATGCTTTTACCTACAAAATCTTCCAGAATTGTCTTTCCTACACCTTTCCCCACATCCATCAAGATGCTTCTTTTTTTTTGAGACAGGGTTTCTTGTTCTGTTGTCAGGGCTAGAGTGTAGTGGACTCATCATAGCTCACTGCAACTTCAAACTCTTGGGCTCAAGTGATCCTCCTTATTCAGCCTCCTGAGTAGCCGGGACTACAGGCACACACCACCATACCTGGCTGATTTATTTATTTTTTAAAATTTTTTGTAGAGAAGGGAGACTTGCTATATTGCCTGGTCTTCAACTCCTGGCCTCAAGCTATCCTCCCATCTTGGCCTCTCAAAGTGCTGGGTTACAGGAGGGAGCCACTGCACCTGGCTAAGATGCTTCTTAATCTAATTCTTGTTGAGAACCTCTCTTTCTTTCTGCTTCCCACCATTCACCTAAATTTTCCCTCCTTCAGCTCTTATACCACTAAACCATATCATTGATTTTCAATGATTTCTCTTTAATGCCTATTAGTCTCATCTTCCCAATCAGATTATAAGTAACTCTATGGCATGAGTCTTCTATTAGTATTCTATATTCCCATAACACCTGCCATTCTGTTATTCCTACTTTCAATCATCCATGATGATTATGAATGAAATTTATGAACTTATATGAAACATATAGTTTAACTTATGTAAGTCAGTTGGGTATGAGATGAATGGATGGATGTGAACACTAAATCACTGAATTCTGCATGGAAAATTCCATTTCTATTTTTGTATGTGGTCTCGAAAAAACTTGAATCACCATCATCAATTTGGAAATTCCTCTAGAAGAGGACAGGGCAGTTCCTCAGCATATCTGCAACTCAATAGCCAAGCAGGAGGGAAAGCAGAAAGGATTTTGCCCCCATATCACCCTAAAAGGGAAATTTGTGTCTCATCCTAGCTTGAAGGGAGGTAGAATAGTGCCTATTAACCCTATAAGTAATTCTCACACTTATATTGGAAAAATATCCTGATTTCTCTGAAATCACATATTTGGAATCTTTTTCATCACAGGATACCAGAGTTGCTATTCTTGTTATTGTAATGCCACCATGGGGAGTTTGGGGACAATTCTCACATTGAAGTACCATCCATGAGGTCATAGACAAATCAGTAGTAATATTTACCCCACTGAAATTGTACTTATTGTACCTGAACACTCCCATTTCTTCATAGTCTTAGAAAAAATGTTAAAGAGAAGAATTTCAGTATATAGGAAAATACACTCTACCCTTGAATACCCGCACATATGGTGGGACTGGTGAACATGGCTGAGGCAGGAAGGAGAAAGTTTGTGCTTGTGTGTGTGTGTGGGCATGCATATCTGTGTGTAAATCAGAACCTTCCCAAAGGGAGGAAAATGCTTAAGTCTATCAAACTGGTGAAGAGGTAATAGGCTCTGGGATATGTATAGACTTTATTTTTTATTTTATTTTATCTGTTTATTTATTTATTTATTTTTTTTTGAGACAGAGTCTCACTTTGTTGCCCAGGTAGAGTGAGTGCGTGGCGTCAGGCCTAGCTCACAGCAACCTCAAACTCCTGGGCTAAGCAATCCTCCTGCCTCAGCCTCCCAAGTAGCTGGGACTACAGGCATGTGCCACCATGCCGGCTATTTTTTTTTCGTATATATTTAGTTGGCCATTAATTTTCTTTTTATTTATAGTAGAGACGGGTCTCACTCTTGTTTGGGCTGGTTTCGAACTCCTGACTTCGAGCAATCCGCCCACCTCAGCCTCCCAGAGTGCTAGGATTACAGGTGTGAGCCACAGCGCCTGGCCTATTTATAGACTTTAAATTGACATGTGCTATACATATTGGATACTTGGCTGATCTCATTTTTTATTTTTTATTTATTTTTATTTTTATTTTTTGAGACAGAGTCTCGCTTTGTCGCCCAGGCTAGAGTGAGTGCCGTGGTGTCAGACTAGCTCACAGCAACCTCAAACTCTTGGGCTCAAGCAATCCTGCTGCCTCAGCCTCCCAAGTAGCTGGGACTACAGGCATGCGCCACCATACCCGGCTAATTTTTTTCTATATATATTAGTTGGCCAATTAATTTCTTTCTATTTATAGTGGAGACGGGTCTCACTCTTGCTCAGGCTGTTTTCGAACTCCTAACCTTGAGTGATCCGCCCGCCTCGACATCCGAGAGTGCTAGGATTACAGGTGTGAGCCACCGCGCCCGGCCTATTTATAGACTTTAAATTGACATGTGCTATACATATTGGATACTTGGCTGATCCCATTTTTTAGAGCAACTGAGATAATGTAAAGGAGAGGCAAAGAGGAAAAGGTTCTGTTTAATTTAGCAAGACTAAAATTAAAAAAACTGTAATGAGAAAAAGTAATGAGATTTGGACTCTAAGATGATAAAAAAAGAAAAAGTAATGAGAGATTTAGATTATAACTATAATTTTTTATACCATTATCTTTCTTATAACTATAGATGCCTGAAAACTTCCCAGAGTCAGAGAATTAGATAAAATGGGATTCCATTTTCAAAAGAGATTGGATATAATATGATCATTAAAGTCTAGGTGTAAAAGTGAAGAGGATTATCTGAATTCTGTACTGATTTTATTTGATTTCAAGGGTGTTCTCCAGTGTCACTCTTGCTGTCAGATGCCAAAACGTCTCTAGCTACTGCAAGGAACATGGTGTCATCCAGAGAAACTGGTTCACGGCCACCAGGACACAATAAGCCTTCACAAAGTAACTCCGGAGAGACAACACAGAAACATACCTGGTCCTGTCGGTCCTGCACCCCTTTCTCTGGGAAGGTAAAGCCCTCTACCAAAGATAGCAGAAGGAACTATCACCCCCCCTAAGTGAGGGCAGGAATGAGCCACTGCCTGCCATCAATCTCCAGGGCTTCTCTGGAAAGAGGAGGATATGTTGTCCAGAGATAAAGCTGTATTTAGGAGCCCCTGCCCTGTAGAGTGCAGTGTGTGTGTGTGTGTGTGTTTTTTTGGGGGGGGGTGTCAGAGTGGCCTGCACTGGACTCTCAGGGCCGCCCAGGCTCCCTACCTTCAGAGCCTCCCAGCTGGGACACACATTTCATCACCAGTTCCTCCTCAGCTCCACATTCTAGTTACTGCCAATACTCTTTGAGACCCTCACAGGGTCTGCTGTGGGTGTTAAGAGACAGGTGAATTTCACCCGGCAGCTAGATAAACTATAAACTGTTCATTTACAGAAAGGCACAGGCTGTCCTTCTTTTCTTCCATAATTTCCTCATCTGTGAAATGGGAATAACAGCCCTGTCACATCTCTTCCACACAGTGGGGATGCTGCATAAGAAGGGAAACGCTATAAAAAGGCATCATTGTTGCTATATTTATTACACATCCCATAGTCTCATATAACATAAAGCAGCAAAATATCTACCAAATATGTCTCAAAGCCAGTGCACAGCCTGGTGAGGGTGGCTGCATAAAAGCTTGTTAAAAATTCAATTCCCTCAGCCCACCTTAAACCTATTGAGTCAGAAACTTCAAGTTTCTGATGCAATCAGTCAGGTTTGCGGCCCCTATTTGCACCATTCTGTGAACACAGGACAGAAGGTGTATGAATGACAGAGGAAGAGGTGTATGACATATATCACTTCCTACACCACTCAAACGTGACCAGCGGAGGTAGATTGTAGCACAGGTGACTGATAACCCATTTCTAAGGAGTGCCTTCGAAGGGTGAAGGTGCAACAGGAGGACCACCCGAGAGGGAGAGGAGCGCTCGGCGGGAAGAGGAATCGAACTCACCTACAATGATACCACAAGCACTGACCAATCCGATCTCTTTCTTCAGGGCTACTCCGCCCCCTCCGGAACCAGTGTCCGGGCTGGCGTCCGACTCGTCCCCACCTGGGTGGTTCTTTTCAGTGTTGTTTCGGTGCCTGGCTCCTTTTTCCATTTTTCTCACTAGGATCTCAGCCTCCAAAAGCTGTCTCTCTTTCTAAATGCGTATGCGTGTAAATATATTGAGAAGGAGCCTTTAAATTAAAACGTCCCTTCCCGAAACAGGGACCACTCCTACCCTCTAAAAAGGACAAGCAGATAAAAGAGAAGAAGAAAAATATCCCCCTACTTTGGACTGACGCTTCCTCCTCACTCGCGTTAAAAAAACAAGGAAAGTGTTGCTAAAAGGGGTGGGGGAAAGGCAGGTATATTTAAATATAAAAATAGAGCGGTACCAGCGACTCCGGCTGGAATTCTGCTGAGAGGGATGTATCTTCAGAAACCAGGACGGTCTGCTCTGTGTACCAGGCAGTGGCTTATCTCAGACGCTTCAAAAACAGAGTCTGGATTTCCCTTCAGCTCTCCTCATAAAACAGACTGCCTTTACCTCCCCTTAGTCTTTTCTTTTATGATGAGGACAAGAGTAGTTTTCATTAACTGTGGGGGGGTGGGAGGGAGGAAGAGGCAATCTTCAGGTACTTTCTTCTCTTGCAGAAAAACAAAACACAGAAAACCGTGGATCTGACCGTTTTGCTCTAAATCTGGTTTCCAGCTGCTATGGGGTTCTTTTCCCTGCCCGGTCTTCTGCTTCCGCTTTTTCCAGATGTCCTCTTTTCTCGCTGATCTTGCCCTTGTTTCCCTTCTTCCGATCTCCGTCCTACGGCACAGATTGCCCCATCTCTCTGGGTTACAGCGGAGTGGTTTCTCCACACACGAACGTGATTCCCTTTTAGCGAGGGGTTTTATTTGCTGAACTAGGCTCCGCCCCCACCTCCTCGGTGCCTCTCCATCCTCTGTCCCCTCCCTCCTCTTTAATTTAAATATTAGCACACAGGCCCTGGAGATCACTGAGAAAATGGACTGGATTATATCCCTTTGAAATCGCCCCTCGTTTTCTCCATCTTTCTCCTCGTCACCAAGTGGCAGTAAAATCCTTCCACGTCAACTGTTCCGGGAGAGCTCATTAGCTAGTATAACGTTACAGGTCATACAGCATTTGTGAGCTTTATAAATAAGGAAACAGTTGTGCAGACGCTTTTAATGCCATCAGAAATAAACTGGCCAATGTATTAAAATATTTAGGTCTGGATCATTTGAGGATACAGGAGAGAAGCTTGTAGGACATCATCCTCAAGTTTCTTGAAAGTAGGAGGAACCTGCCGGTGGGGGAGGGGAATGGAAGGAATCAAGAATAATGGAAGAGAGGTTAATTTAGTGTAATTGTGAGCTATGAAGAGTACAGAGGAAACAAAATCACCAGGAAGAGATGGTAGCCTGGTTGTTCACAGCTCATATTTAGGGCTGGTTGAAACACGAAAGAAATGACTCAAACCCTGCTCCCATAATTTCTAATATTTTTGCATCTATAAGTTATTTGAAAAGCAATAACATATGGGGAATTATCAGCACCTCAACGACCATCATACTTGTTGATGTTAAGAGATTAACTAACTTATTACCATATTGATATTGCCCCACTGCTTCCCTGGAGTATTTCACTCAGAAAATGTTGCCTCAAGGTAAAAGCAATTATGTCTATCTATAATTGTTAAGTGCTTTGAAAAAACAGCAGGAATCAATATATCGACCACAATATTTTAAATATTATTTAATATATTATTCAATATATTATATATACTGACCACTAACTACAGAAATTTGGCCTCACTTTTTGAAAAATGTTCCAAAAGATTTTGGGTTTTAAGGAAAATAAATACTTAATTCCTTAAAATGAGGTTGCTAGAGCTATTGTAGCAAAGATTTTTCCAAATGGGGTAAAGTCCGATCAGCAGGCTTTTTTTGAGTCTGCCGGTTGATCACTCAGCAAGTATTAAGAAGTTTCAAAGGTTCAAAGTTCAACCTCTTCCTCTCCCTCTGCTAGTTTAAGATATAGTAAATTGAAAGCCTCAGCAGAAAAAAACAACAACAAAAAAGTTGGGGTAGAGTATAAAGGATTTTCAACAAAAAGAACAGACAAGGCAGGGAATATATAGCCCAAAACTCCACAGGAGGAGATGAGACATGGGAAATGAAAAATTTTTGAATCTCCTCTGGCCTACCTTGACAACCTTACTACACATGGAGGGAAAAACTTGATGGATTCATTTTTAAACATTCTGATTTGAAGACTTCTGGTCACATTGCAACATTAAGGTATAAAACAAATAATCTTTCTGCTTCTCAAATGTGAGTTTTTTCAGAAATGTTTTGTAGTTCTAATTTAAATGATGCAGACTTAACATGGGATAAAACATGCATATGATGAATTTGAGGTCTCTTGACAAAACCAGTGCAAACTGGTTAGCTTTAGCCCTCTCAATATGATAAGCTTTAGCCCTCTCAATTTATGAACTAACAAGCAAAGCAGGGTTTATGGGATCAAATACATTCTTGAGATACAGTGGTATTAAGTGTGCAAAATTGGAAAGGAAGGGTGGTTGAAGATTAAAATTTCTGTTTCTTTAGCATTTGGAATTTACAAGGGGCTTCTGATTGTTAGTGGTGCAATGTAAAAGCTAGGAAAGGAATCTCCCTTTCTTCAAAGGGACTAATATTCATATTAAGTGCCTCTTTTTAGGTTGGGAACTTTTTGTGATATAAACTCGAAGGTGTGTCAAAATTTGACCGGACTAACATTTAACACAGGAAAGAAAGAAAAGTCTTGCTGTAATATATTGAGAAAAATCTGCAGAAAATTATTAACTGAAATTCATTAAATTTTGAGCACTTTTTAATGAATCCTTTTTATTCATAACTCTATTCTAAATTTGCCTTTATATTTTTATTCTACTCTTTACATTTAAATAGTGCTTTACAGACTACAAACAGTTTCATGAACAATATCTCAATTTTTTCTCTCCTGATTATCTTGGGTGGATAAGGCAGTTATTTTAAAGATTCTGAAGATTAAGAAGCTGAGGCTCAAAGAAGTGTTTTACCTGAGATCAAAGACACTTAATCTAGTCAAAGGTAAGAGGGAGATCAATGGCTTACATTCATCACTTACCAAGATGCTGTAGTTACTGGTCAAAACATTGACTTTCTTTAACCTGAGAGAAAGAGGACTTTGGATCATGGCCATGCCTCCATGTTTTTGTCAACCCCTTCGCACAGTTCTCAGCGTGGCTACATCCCAGGTACTTAGTACCATTCTGTTTCCAATATCTGAGCAACTGTTTCAGTTGTTTTGGGTGCTTAAAATAGGAAGAAATTGATCTCTTTAACCAGGGAAACGGTCGGTGAAAGGATTATTTTCTTACAAATATGAATTTAGGAAGAGAAAGGTTGTGTGTGGCTGACACCTACTGGGCAAATGGGATATGGCAGGGGCTTGCAGCTTACAGGAGTTAAACCAAAACACTGTTATGTTCCAATATTCCCTTTTCCAAACAACACTTGTAAGTGTCTGTTAATGCAAAGTAATAGAGCACAGACCTCATCCATTCCATTCCTGATTTTTTCCTGGATTCCAATAGGCAGCGCCTTATTCTTGTTCTTTGTAACAGAGTTGTTCACTCTGACGTATGACCAAAAAAAAATAAAAAAGAAAAAAAAAAAAAGTAACAGAGTTGTGCAATCTGAGGTCACTAACAAAGGACCCACATCTCTTTCCGGAGTCAGCTCACAGTCCAGGATCCCACACGTATACATGCCCAAGATCAGAAGGAAACCCTGCTTTAAATTAAAGCAGAATACCAGGGACCACTGTCAATTAGATGGGGGTTTCCTGAGCCAGTGGTTCTCGAAACCTTTGTTTCATTTAAAAATGGAAAGCAAATGAAAATTAATGAGAAAAGATGAAAGAAATAAAAAAAAAAAAGGCCAAAACAGATCAGAAAGAAAGGAAGGAAGATGAAGTGAGGGGGCTCAGTCAGTTAGTAAGCCCTTTTTAGTGTATGCTCTGTTTGTCTTTTGGACATATTCATAAGATCAAAGGAAATTGTATATTCTAGGGTTTATGCAGTCCTGAGAATTTGGATGGAGCAGACTCTGCTTTGTTGTGATGGTTAATTAAGTCATGCTCTTCTGGAGATAATGATGAATCCATGCTCTGACACTAGAGACAAAAATTCCAGCAGATTACACCCCTGTCTGCTGCACTTGGTCAGATTCCATTGAGCCAGCCCAGTACTAGTGGGAAAGAAATGAAGATGCACTCCCTGTGGCAGCCTGCATTTCTTTGACTCCTTTTCTGGGCCCAATCTGTCAAGGAATTCTTTTTTTCTAAGGAATTATGCAACTCCTGTTATGAGTACTTAAATATGGAGTCTTCTACTTCCTAACTGGTTTTTCCTGTGTTTACCAAAGATGAGGGCTCACGTCTTTCAAGTTCCCTGAGGGCAGAGACCTCTGACCAGTTTTGTTTACCACAATAACCTCAGTACCTAAAATGGTGCCTGACACTCAATAAATATGATTGAATTAATTGATGAATGTTGATGTACATTAATGCATAATAAATAAATAAAATAATTGCTAAGTGACAGGTTAATGTACCAACTAATTGCAGTAAGATGTAGCCCTCATTGCCTGGACAGGGGCTAGACCATGAAAAGAGGAGAAAGACACAATCAAAGTTTTGACTTGGAAGATGATTTCATGTAGAGCACAGGTCTCAAGCAGGTCCTCAAAACTGCCTAGCAATACTACCACAATCTTATAGTCAACCGAACCTTCCATTTACCTTCTCTTCTCTTCAAACCAACACCACCCCCCAAATCCTCACTTCCAGTTGATGTCCTTGACTATTGTTTCATGAAGAAAATAGGACTAGGCAGAAGAGAACTTCCATACCCTCCATCCACTAAATCTGTCCCTCTGCCTATAGCTTTACACATGTGCTCCGCCTTCCCTCCGCTGGATGAAGGTGGCTGTGCTGTCAGCGCTCCTGGTATCTCCCCGACTTGTGCACTGGATCCCCTGTCCTATCTCCCTGCTCAGGGACTTTGCTCCTGGAATTATTCCTCTCTCTCCTGCATCATCAGGTTTTCATCTCTATCAGCATACAAACATGCTATAATAACTCCCATTAAAACAACAAAATGGGCCGGGCGCGGTGGCTTACGCCTGTAATCCCAGCTCTCTGGGAGGCCGAGGCGGGTGGATCGTTTGAGTTCAGGAGTTTGAAACCAACCTGAGCAAGAGCGAGACCCTGTCTCTACTATAAATAGAAAGAAATTAATTGGCCAACTAATATATATAGAAAAAGTTAGCCGGGCATGGTGGCGCATGCCTGTAGTCCCAGCAACTTGGGAGGCTGAGGCAGCAGGATCGCTTGAGCCCAGGAGTTTGAGGTTGCTGTGAGCTAGGCTGATGCCACGGCACTCACTCTAGCCTGGGCAACAAAGTGAGACTCTGTCTCAAAAACAAACAAACAAACAAAAAAACCCAAAACGACACAAACAGAGCTTCTCTTGACTCTACACTCCTTTTCAGTTCCTGCCCCAGTTTTCTGCTGCCCTGTCTCCACTTCCTTGTCTCGATTCCTGCTTGCATTTACTACACCAAGGTTTTGTCCCCATCACCCCATGGAATCCATTCTTGTCAAGGTCACTAATAGCCACCATGTGGTCCAATCTAATGATCATTTCTCTGTCTTCATCTTATTGATCTCATAGCAGCATATGGCCAGTCAGTGGCCCCGGAGCACCCACTCTCCTGGCTCTCCTCAACCTCACTGGTCTCTTCTTGGGCTCCTGGCTGGATCCTTTTCTCTTCCCACCTCTTCTCTCCTCTATCCTTCTTCATTACCTAGGTGATCTCCAGTCTCCAGCTTTCAGC